GAAATGATTACTGTTAAATGTTAAGTCCAAATCACACAATCAACAGACTAAATATTTTTAAATACAAACAGCTCACAAGGCTATTTTTAATCTGCTTTGCTGCAGTCTTCCAGGGACATACATTAGTACTTTAATTAGCCATCGCTGATGAAGATTGCTGCTAAAAGTTTGAAGGTATTAAGACATTTTGCACTGCTCTGTGAAACTGTAATTTAAAAAGAATGAGGGATGCATAGGTCACATCTGCGCTGGAAATCTCCACTGGCGAGTGCCTGAATACGTTCTGTTATTACTGCAAACAAACACACACACAATCAGTTGTGAATACTGCATTCTGTCTTGGCAACAGGCAGCTTCAGAAGGGGCCATGTGTTGCCATATTATTTGGAGCGTTTTCCTGTTTCTGGAATAACCGCTTCCAGTTGAGACTCTGGGCAGAGCAAGCTGCACACCGAACACATTCCACTGCCAAGGAAAACACCTCTCTCATGACCAAAGCGCGGCCCCTCCCTTTGTCCCCTTCCAGCCAAGGTGTTTCACAGACAGATAGAAATCAGCCGGTCCGCTGGGGAGTGCAACATATCCTCACGCTGCTTTTCCTATAAAACAGGATTCCTGTGTTAATCCTGTGAGCCCTGGCAGATGGATTAATACATTTAAAGCTAGAAATTGTAAAACCATCGCTGTTTCATGTTGTATGTGTGTGTCATCAAGACACAAAACCACATTAAAATTGGAGACAGATGACTTATTTATGTATGTTTGAATGTTTGTCTAAGTGTTCATTTTGTTGATTTCCACTGTAGAGCCTTTGCTTAGAAACCAAAAGTGTGCCCCATCGATCGCACCAGTGAAGGGTCAGGTCGTTTCTCAGCGAGTCACAGAGTTCCTGTGAATATTATCCAAATTCTGGATTTACTTCAGCAGAACCTTGTTCATCTCTTATGCAACCACTGTGCTACAAGAAAACCCATTTTCGTTTTTGTAGTCAAGCCATGCTGTATATCTTTGTGTGCATGTATACGTATGTATGTATGTATGTATGTATGTATGTATGCATGTGTGTTACACCACTCCATTAGGCTGGAAGGAAGCACTTTTCTCTCTGAGTGTATTTTGAGGATTAAGATAAACAGACTTTAACAAGGTGCCATTATCGCTTGCACACACTCCCCTCCTCTCACACACTCGCATAAAGGTTCTCCATGTAGGTTGTTAGTCGACCAGAAAACTGTTTGATGAATTTGTTTCTGTTATTGTTGTGTTGCTTTTCCTTCTTATAATTACCCCCCGCCCCCCCGCACACACACACACACAGACACACACACATACACCCCGGGATTTCACTGCAGTTATACCCATCCTGCCTGATAATTACCACCGTCAAAACTGCTAAATTTAAAAATCACAAAAAGTGCTGTCCTCGCATGTAAATACGCCAGCCACCTGTACCCTCAGCTAACTTTAGGTGCCAATTACACGTGACTTAAATCCAGAGATAAACGCTACCAACACTGAAGAGAGCGGAATTGCAGCAAATATGAAAATGCCCCCCAATCTAATTATCATTAAGGAAGGTTTTGGGGGGTTGGTGGTTAATTGAGGTCAGTCTCGTGGCCGCTCAGTTATGTGTGAGCTGCCGTAATTACCTTTTCCGCTAACAAAATGCGTTACAAAGATCCGCGGCGGCAGCTGCCCGCGTGTCCGTCGCGTTCAATTGACCTCCCGATCAGAGCAGGTAGAAAAGGAGAGGCAGAGAATGAGGGGAGAGGCCGTTTCACACTTGAAGAGGCTGTTAGTGTTGACGCCCTCGGCCGGCAATTACACACAATCAGCGGGAGAGCTGCAGACCTGCTCCTCTGTACAATGGAGCCCCGCGCGCGGTGGAACCTAGGGGTGAGGCCCGCGAGCCGCTCAAGTGCGTGCAGCTGTGCGCGCTCCAGAGAGAAAAGCCGACTTCCCCTGCAATTAGCTCCTCGTTTCAGTTTTTAACAACGAAAAACTGGTTTATTATCATCTCCTCTGGCAGTCGTTTCGGTTAAAAAAAAAAGAAGAAGAAGAAGAAGAAAGGGGAAAAAAAATTGGCGTCCATTTTTTGTGTGTGGGGGTTATTATTTATTGGTGTCTGAAGTGGCTCTGAGAAGTTATTTTCTGCTAATTGTCGGGCTTATCTTGCTTTGACAGATTTAACCGAGACTTAAATGGCACTTCAACGGTGCTGCCTCGCACTCAGTGCGACCTGCGGTGCGATAATGCTTGCTGTTAGGTTTTTGATTTAAACGTTTTAAGCGAGTTCAACCAAAAATGCTTCTTGCTGTGCGCCTTTATATGATTAAATCTGTACTATTAGAGTGTAGGTCAAAAGAATGGTTAAATGGTTCACTTTTATCTGGAATAAAAAGAAGAATAAAAAGATACAAATTCTAATCATTTCCCTTTGGATCTTTCCACCAGATGACCAGGAGCATGAGTGGATTGTGCGGACTTGTCGGAAGGCTTGGGATGAGGTTTGTGGCGCTGAGCCGGAAAAATCAGCTGCAGCCAGGTGTGAGGAGAGCAGCAATGTTAACTTTTAGCATGTTATTTATTAAAACCGAGCTATAGGGAATTTCTGTCTTGTATTACATTTTGCATTAATGACTGAAAAGTAAATGATCAAGTCCATGCTTTTAAATCATCTCGTTTTATTTCCCCCCCACCCACATTGCTGCTGTGGCCTATGAATTCTGGGAGGTGCAACAGCCGCCTTTCAGTGCATTCATCTTAATTTCCATAATACTGTATGCATTACAGAGAGGGAGCTAGAGGAATGGAAAGAATCTGGGAAATACATTTACAATCAGTTTACAGGCAGCACAGAATACATCCAGTTTTATTACGTGCTTTGATTGCCATACTGTATTATTTCAGATCTACATCTCACACCCAGAAGAATTAGGACAGGCAATCAGTTTCCAACTGGGTTAAACAGTCTTTATACATGCTGCCCAAACAACTCTGTTATTCTAACTTTATCCAGCAACACATTTCCCATCCCTGTAATAAGAATTGACTTATTTACAGTGAATTAATGATGTGCAAAACACCACAGATTGCTGGTGTAACACAAATGCGCCATTCATGTGTGAGGGTTGGTTTTGAGGGGCTTTGGTGCTTTTTTTGCAGGGTTTTTTTTTTTCATGCCTAAATGAAAGATTTTAGCAGGCATTCAAAAGTGAGTGTATTAAACTACAATCTGAGGTAATTTGCCAAAGATAGGAAATTAGCAGGTAACATTGACAAGGCTTTGATCTGCTGGGCAAGCGTCAGGCACTCATTAAATTACTCTTCAACATATCGCCATAAACTCCCATTAGCAGATCATCTTTTAAAAAAATATCAAATAAAATTAATAATGAATGAACACCCTTGAGAGCAGGAGAAATTTCCCATAATGCACTCTTTGTCTTGCACAAAAATGCAGACCCAGCACACACACACGCACACACACACACACACACACACACGAGGATGTACACTGTTAACCTCTAATCTAAGCACAAATGCTAAAGTAAACACACAAGAAGTGAAGTTACAGCAAAACACAATGCCTGACTTAAAAAAATACACATGGAACACAGAGTTACTTTATATTTATGGATTTTATTTGTGTATTTACCATTTGAAACTTCATTCCATCTGAGCCCGATTTAATTGTCTTACACACTTGTCTGTGCTTCGCAGTTGACATGTTTTGGAAAATTAAACGTGAATAATTGCTTTGTTAGTTTATCCTCAGAAATGATCCAAAGCCACCAAAAAAATATCACATTCTATTTTATTGCATTTTATTACACAAAACATTTATGATGCACAGTCTATCAAATAAACTTTTTTGTTTCATTTCATGTTTTTTTAAACAAAACAAACAAACAAAAAAAACATTTCAAATGGGGGAAAAAGTGCTTTACAGGGATTTACCATCTCAATAAATACAAGGACATTGAGGTCTTGTTGGATCCTGTTCTTCACACTATGGCCATGGAACTAAAATACAAATGCACACTCTATACCCCTGTCAAAACTCACACATTCACACACACAGACGCACACACATCTTAATATGTACAAACCCAGTCATTTTATACTGTCCATATTGTACCAATACAATATTCCCTGCCTGCTTGTGTGGAACACACACACACATACAGAGGCTGAACAAGCAACCTTATAAATTATAAATTAGTAACAATACACCTGTGGGAAAATCTGGAAATGTGGTCTGATTTTGCAGGAATGTGAAGTTTGACTTGTATGGTCATCTCAGACTTTCCTCTTTAAACAGGACTGTAACGGTTTAAAGTCTGCAAACTCCTGCTTATAACCGGTGTTTTATTCACGCAACAGCTCCAATGTTGTCCTTTGCGGCTTCATTAAATGGTAAACAGACAAAATGCTACAACAGAGTCTATTAAATAGTTTGTGATTTTCTGCCAATTGAAGATTTAGGAGTCTCATAATTTTTCCTGCGTAATAACAGTTAAATGTTTAGTGAGAAATATCACTTTGGAAAAGATAAGGCACGTAATATTTTCTTGTCTCTAATTCTGCACCTCAGTTCGGTGGGAAAGGAAGGAGGAAGTTTCTGGTTTTCTGAGACGTCATAAAGTCAATATGTCATTCCGAAATAAAAAATGTTTCAACAATCAAAGATTCCTGTTATATTTAGATTCCTTCATGGTTGCTTAGAGAGAAAAGAGCCAGGAGCCTTACCTCTAATGTGGTCTACTGTGGCCTTTGGGCCACGAAGATAGTTCCCCTTTAAATTTCTCTTCGTGTTTTGACAGCACTTCAAGAAGTTTCCTTGCTCAGTTTATCCCTTTAAAGCTCCCTTCACCTCCACATTAGGTGGTGGCTGAGTAGAGTGGAGGATGCTGTACATGTGAAGCAAAAGGGTCCGTGTGATACATAGTCTGTGAGTTTAATGATAAACGCTTCAAAGTCATTTTTGGAAGTCCTATCCCCAGAAAAGAACATAATCACAGATGGTTTTTTAGCTTTTATCTCGTTCATCCATTTCTCTTTTTTTCTGGTTTCAGTGGACAAGGCTCCTGCAATATTTGTCTCTTCTCCACGCTGACTCCTGGATGACCTTCGAGTTGGTTCATGAGACATCACTGATGTTAGATCAGGGGTTGGGATCGGGAGGTCAGGGGTCATAAGGGCCATGTCGGAGAACTAGCGACTGAGGGGGAGCTGAGGCAGCGACATGGCCTGATGAGAGAGACTCTGAGAGGTCAGGACAGAGAAGGGATGACCTGGGGAACAAATCATAAAAAACACACAAGATTAAAAAAAAAAAGAAAGAAAAGCAAAATGTGTGTCTTACAAAGCAACTCCCATAATTTAAAAAGTCAAAACAAATACTAAAAATGATGTGCCTATTTACACCACAGTAAATGATAACTCACTGTCAATGTACCCATGAAGGGCCACCATGCGCGCTCGCTCGGGACTGCCAAACGGAGAGTAATGCAGCTCATCGGGCAGAGATGAGGGTATCCTGGACTGAGGATGACCTTGAGGAGCCCCGCTGTGCTGGGGCGTGTGCTTTTTATGTCTTGCTCTGCAGTTTTGAAACCACACCTATGAAGATGCAATGTAACCAGACATCATGTGGCTATATTCTTAAAGTTTGTCTTTTCAGTGTACTGTAAGAATGTGTTCCATTAGTTTAGCATTTTAACATTTAATTATATTGACGTCATCCATTCGTGTTTTTTATACACACTGCTCACCTGTATGACTCTTCTGCTTAGGCCTGTCATGTCGGCTAGTTTCTGTAGCGTCTGGGCATCCGGATTGTTGTCCTGAGCAAACTGTGCCTGCATGATCTGCACAATGAGACAAAATATTAGGTACTGTGTCAGGGCTTTGGCACAGTAAATCAACGTTGTGCACTTCGGTGTTGCTGAGAGCGTTTCTCACCTGTAGCTGTTCTGCGGTGAACGATGTCCGTGCTCTTTTGGCCGGTTTGGGTTGACTGTCTTGTTCTGTTGGAACTGCTCCCTCTAATGTGATGCCATTGCCTACAAAAATACACACACACATGCAAGTCAGATAATAGTTCAGTGATAAATAAAGTGACTATAGATGTCAGGAGACATAGGTAGTCTAGAGGACTTGAAAAATGTATCATATCAAAGGGACCTCAGGAGTTTTGATGCCCCAGCAGGGACCCAAATTTAAGAGCAGTGGCCTACTTTTCCGCTCTTGCAGCATAACATGCTAATTCTGTAGGTATTAGCGTTCTCAGAAAATTAACAGATATCAATCATTTGAAATAGTTATGACAAGGAATGATTCAATCAGGCAATAAATTTGCTGAAAAGCATAGCTTCAGATATATCTTGTCATTTACCCAAACACTCACCGCTCTCAGCTGCTCGTTTGAGGTTCTCCACCATGGTGTCGTAGTGGATTCGGCACAAGACCTTCTCCTCCACCAAACCAAACTCTTCTCCCGTGGACAGCTGCCTCTTACACGAGTAGCAGGCAAAACATGCCAAGTGGTATGCGTTTCCCCTTGCACGTCGCACCCAGTCGCTGGCGTATATCTGCCGCCCGCAGCGGGCACACTTAGTACCAAACCTACTGTGAGGGGGAGAAGAACAGAGCAGCAGAATGAGGAATTATGGGTAAAAAAAAAAGGGAAAAAGATAAAATTGTTGCAGAACAGAAAATGAAACATACACAGTGACTTCCTTTTCTTTGAGAATATTTTCTTGAAGTGAAGTTTGACATGAATTTGTTTTTTAATTCCTGGCAAAGCTCAGAAGCTTTAAAGGAAACCTTGGAGGAGGAGGATATGGCTTTCAGAAAAGACTCCTGAGTGCGGCTGCAAGCTGAGCCTTGAATGCAAACAAACCAACACCTGCAATTTCCTGACTGATGCATGAAGCCCCTGACACATATATACACACACACAAAAACACACATAAGCCAGGTTGGCTTTAAACACAGTGGAATATGAAGAAAAACCCAGATGACATCATTCTAGATCGCCTCGCTGTAACTGATAGCAACAGCGAGGTTGGCGGTGAATAAACCCAAACCACCTGACTTGCTGTTATGGATGGGTGGTTGGTGGGAGAGAGAAAGAGGGTCAAAGATGTAAGGCTAGAAATGCTTCAAGACAATTCCTCATTAGCAAGAAATAAGATAGCTGAACATCTGCTTAGTTTAAATGTTTTAAATGAGGGGGATAAAACAGGACACGGGGGTCAAAGAAGAAATAAAGGCTGCTGTAGATTTATAACTAATCCCACAAAAAGGCCTTCCTATCCCGTATGTCGGTGGCCATTCTTCTAAAAAGAAAAAATGTAAATCCCAAATATTAAAAAAGTATTTTCAAATGTAATAGTACATTAGTAATATGTGTGTAGAAATTAGTCAAATTGAGCTGCAGCACTTGTGCTTTATGAAATAAGATATATCAGACATAAGCAATACAGATGGAAAAATGTCGAATATCTCATATCCCTTCACGAGATTGTGTTTACTGTGCAGCTGGGTTCGTGGAGTATCCAAATAAATCTCCATTTTATTGCAACAGAAATATTATAGATGCTCCCTGTTTTGCACAAGAATAAAAAGATATTAAGCGCCTCATTTGAAGGACCCATTATGGGTTTTAATGGGTATCAAACGCTTTAGGTTGGAGATGGTTATGGTTATGTTAAGAGCCATTGTTGGGGTCGGCAGCTGCCAATTCTGCTGGAGGAGGCCAGATTTGTAAGCAGCCTGAAAGAAAGTGCTTCTTCAAGGGTAAAACTGGCGTGGAAGGGGGTGGGGGTAAACATGCGCAGTGTGCTGCACTGTACAGCCGGATTTGTGTACATTCATCAGCCGTGCTCACCCCGATATTTCGCTCGCTGCTCCATACACAGCCACAAACATGAGCCATATTTAGAGTCAGAGGTCAGTGGAGCTGGCGGAGGGCAGGGAGCCGGAAAAGAACAGTCATGGAGAGAGAGAGAGAGAGAGAGAGAGAGAGGACGTAAGTGACTGAGACAGGGAGTCGTAGGGCTGGGGGGAAATGGCAAAGTGGAGAGCGTAAGCGGCGGAGAGAGCGAGCAAAGAGAGCTGGGGGTGCAGAGGAGCACAAGGGCTGCCAAGTGAGTGGGTTTGGCAGCGTATGCGTGCACTCAAGTCCACTCTATCTAGGATGAAAGCATACTAAGGCCCTGACATCTCACAAGCTTGTAACCCTCCTTATGTGCAGGAGCTTGTTTGCCAGAAGTCACTTTTATGCATGTAGTGTGGTGCAGACTATTTATGGGGCATCATTAGGCGACTACTGTTTGAGGGTCAGCCTAGTTTTTATCATCACAGGTCAACAAATTATGTAGATATCACAACAAATGCAAAAAAATGGTATTCATCAAGGGGGAAAAGCAGTGCGACTGTAACAGCGAGTCCTTGTGATGACCTTCAAGGAAAATTGGCTGGCATGGCACCCACTAAGGCCTTAAGTTGTCTCTGATATGTTCAGATTTAACCAAACAACCTCTTATGTGCCATTAAAGCCGCTCCGGGAGACAAATGGAGTGCACGGCTCACTGTACGATATCCTTTCAGACTCTTACAGAGAAGTCGGGCCTGTTTCTACAGTAAAGAGGAAAACATTGTGGAACGTTGCAGCTAATGCAGCATGACAGCTTGTCAGTTTCATGGTCTGAGACAGAACCCAGAAAAAGCTGCAAACCATCCCTTGTTTTAACCCCCTCCTCCTCTTCTGTCTTCCTCCCCTCCCTCTTACTTCTGCACCCATACTTTTTCTGTATCTTATTTTCCATTTGCACCAAAAAACTGATGTTTATTTTGGATCCGTGTCAATCCTCGCAGCCCTTATATCACTCACCGCAAAACTTCCTTTCCTCCTCAGACTTCTCCTATTTGCTCCCCTTATTCTGTCTAATTTTTACTCTTTTTTTTATACAGTAATTCACCTGCTGCTGAAAGAGGGGCCTGAGGAGGTACACGTTTTTTGGATTATTTATGATGTGCTCTGAGAACATGCTAATCTCTATTAGATTTGTCCTGAGAGAGGCTGTGCGGTTTGTGTGCGAGAGGTTCACATTAGGCTGACAGGATTCTGAGCTGAGAAAAAGAGGGGGAAATGTTTCATATGCTTTACGTCTTTTAACAGGTTTTAATAGATCAGGGTTTTATGGATAAACCCTGCAGAAAATACAAGTCCTTGACACTCTCATCCGCTGCTCTTTTAGCCTGTAGTAACTAGGAATACGGGCAGTTTTCTTTGGAACAGCCAATCTGATTTTCGGCATGAATAATGTAGTGCAGCGCTTTAACTGAGCAGCGTAACACTGTGTGTCACAGATGTCTTATTATAATTTTAATTCATTCGCTTCTTGATAAAAATCTCTGTAGCTGCTGCTCTCCTTTGTTGCTATGGAGACCTAATCAGCTAACCAGAGGTGGGTGGTTGATGAATAATTATTATTGCAAAAAAATTTAAAAATTCAAGCGCACACACACACACGCATAAAGAGACATGCACACATCCACATGTGCTCTCATCTCACCCACGAAGTTCATTACATACGTGGACTCTGGTTACAGTGTCAGTGTCACGGGGTGCCCCTGATTAGGGCAACTTCCTGTGTGGCCTGCAGCTCACGGACGCGGATGGGGTTTCTATGGGGCAAGGCGAGGGAGGGCTGCAAGGAGGCGAGGGGGGAAAGGGGAGGAGGCTGATATAGAAATGGTTTGCGTATGTGTGTGTGGTTAAGAGAGAGAGAGAGAGAGAGAGAAAGCAAGCCCCCAAGGCCTGACATGGGTTTGAGAGGCACAGCGGGGGCTCTGTCCTGCACCCCTATAACGCTGACATCGCCCCCACCCAACCTCTGCATACACATACACACGTATATGGAGGGAAACCCACTCTGATTTCCTGCTATTACGCCCCATTAAAGCAGCTGTCAGTCCAAAGCCAGATGAGAGGCTGACACAGATGAGGAAATATCTCCAGAGGTTTGAAAGCAGCCCAAAGGATCTGGACTTGCAGCGGTGTTTAGCCTAGTTTAAATCTGGCCTAAACCCAGATTACAGTTTATATTTACAGAAGTAACCATTGCACAGGTCCCAGCCCTGCAGCAAAGCTTCAATGCAGCATTTTTTAAAATAGCATCACATTCTCAGAGTGACTTATAAGGACATCGAATCCAAAAGTACTGATGTTATTGTGCAAAAGAGGGGTTTCGTCCACATATTGTAACCATACTAACTATTGCAGTAGTTTTTAATCTGCGTATCTGCATTATGAACTCTTTTATGACTGTGCTTGTCATCCCTGTCTTTAGAGTCATAGTTCTGTACAGCAGATAGATGACAAATGTGAGGTACACTGTGGAGCAGTTTAGGTCCTTTGACCAGTTTTTAAACTTCTAAATTTAGGAAATTAGTTGCTTAGCATTTTGTGAAAATAACTATAAGTTTTTCTTATAAAACATCTGTCCAGAAAAACCCTTTTCATTCACACCCTTTATTAAAAAACGTTTTAAACAAAATTAGGAAAAATAACAAGAGTAATAATACGTTTTATTTTAGGGGGAAATGTGTCAGTTTATGTGACAGTTTAATTTAGACCCCCAGTTTCTATGAATTAAATATTTTCTTAGCTTTCTGTGCGTTTAAATAATTAATTAACAACCATATAGGTTTAAAAATGCCACTTAACTACATCTATGACCAAATTAACCAGAAAGAGGCCCTAAGTGACCGTCATTATACACAACAAACGCATTTCATTTTTACCCAGGATGCAGAAATCAACCACTACAGAGCAAAGAAAATTAAATTAGCACAATAATGACAAATGGCTTTTAATATCTGGGGCTAAAATACTGCAGTAATTCTAAAAAGAGATTAGATTAGATTATTGAGGTCTTTGGCGTCTGATTATGTACATTTGTTGCCACTTTCAGGCCTTTAAAACGCTAAAGAGTAAGTGACTAAATATTTGTCAGATGCCTTGATGATTAAAAGAAATAATAATTGCTGCAGTGTTGCACTTCTCCTATAATGGGATGACGCCACATTGCCGAGGTTTTCTCTGTTTTAATTCGTTGGCGCACAGAGGAGAAAGAGAAGCAATCTGATGAAAGACAACTCTACCAACAAATGACAATATGTCTTAAAACAATCAAGGGCTTAAAACTCTTTGACTGTAAGAGAGCTTAAACCGTTTTATTCATTACCATCTTTGGAGATCTGATACTATGACGTATTTAAGCGTCCACATTTAAAAAGCATTTCTGAGTCTATCAGTGAGCAGTGTGGAGGTAAATTCTAAGGGAGCATTTAACCAGAGCTGGGCTGGTAAAATATTATGGTGCGGCAGAGCAAACACAAAAGTCTCCATTTTCGGGAAAATATGAGCAAAATGACTGGCAGCTGCTAGACATGCATAAATAAACAGAGATCTGTGTGTGTTGGTGACCAGTGTGTGCGTGTGAGTAGGTGGATTATGTGTGCAGGTGTTTGCATTGGGCATTTCTGCTAATGCCCATTTCAAAGTTTCACATTTGTGTTTTTATGTTTCTTATTACATGTTTGTCCATGTGCAGGTATCTGTCTCAGGGTGTGTTTTCAGTTTGGACATAAGCCACATTCACACGAGTTACATGCTGACCAGGCACTCGGGGCAGTCTAATTGCTGGTCTGGAGGCTTGAGGGTCTGGGGTGGGGGGACAACTAATTGCTGGTGATTATAAACCTCAGAGCAGTGACTTGGTGTCAGATTTTGATCAGACAAACACTAACGCTCACTTGCAGCTCCATGCACTCACTCCACTCACACACACACACACACAGAGCGTTAAGCACAAATTGGCACACGTGTCCATACGATTAATACACCAGCTCCAGGCTACTGAACAGAAATTTACCATACTGATGCTGCTGTGGCTGTGAACCCCATTTAACCCTGTACTACCACACACACACAGGCCTGCACACATTTTTATATTTTCCTCTTGGCACTCACAAAAACACACAAAAAGGGAATAGAAAACTGAGTCAACACATCAGACAGGCTTTCTTAGTCCAGCTTGTATTGTAATAAAATTGTACAAAATTTGCCTACGCATTCATGGCATGTTGTATACAGACGGTATACAATTTTATTTTGTATTATTTTAGATATATTATCAGAGATATGTAATTTTTAAGGTTTACTAAACAATCATTATTGGGGTTTTTATTATTATTGCTATTAGGCTTGATTCTCTAATTGAAATTGTATTTGTTTTTTAAAAATGAGACATATCCTTTTATTATAGAATAGATAGGCATTTCCTTTTTTGCACTTAAGCTCTGTTTGTCTTTAGGGACCGACTAAATCCGGACAGCTCAAACTGGCATTTCCGCCAATTTCCGTTTACATCACGTGTCCCTGTCAGGGTGTTAAAACAGTTATCCGCGCGCATCGTGGCACGTGGTGTGTTAATTTTGTACCTCATTCAAGACTGAGTCATGAGAAAATGATTTCACCAGCTTTTAGGCACTAAATGCTGGAGAAAGGATCCAATGATCGGGCAGTTGCAAAACACAAAAACACGCCCAGCCAGTCTGGCACAGTGCACTGGAAATGCATAAATAAGCGAAAAGAAACTAAAGTGTGCTAACTTTAATTTGCCTTTTAAGATCTGATATGATCAAAGCGGTAAAGAGAAGCTGGTCATAACAAGGTCAAAAGCGTTTTTCTTTAAATAGCATAAAACTACACAGCCCACAACTTTTTAAACACTTTAGGGAAATTTTCCCAGAGTGCAGCACTCCAGTGTTTTTCCTTTTATAGGCCTAGCTGCTGAAAATCTCGCGTTTTTTGGATAGCCATAACAAAACTGTGAATCTTTCAGCCCTTCGCTGTAGGCAAAAGCTTTTATTTTGTTACACACTTTCAGTTTTTGAAAAGGCTTTTCAAGAATATATGAGGCAACCCACATGCATACGTTTCAAAGGATAAGTGTGCGTGAGTGCACGTGTGTGCGACAAGAGAGAGAGAGGGGGAGAGAGAGAGCTGTGCTGGCAGAGGGGCGGACGTGGTATTTTGAAAACACGGCCATAAACTTACCCTACCTGAAATAATCCATTTTACAGAAGATCTCTTTGTTTTTGATGTAGCAGCTGCTGTGCTGACGTAGTGACGTCCTGCACACTGAGCACTCCAGACAGCGCACGTGCCAAATCAGGTTGTTCACCTGCAAAGAGACACCAAGCGTGTCAAACACACACAAACTGATGATATAAGGCCGCATTAAGGACTTAGGGTGTCTGCTGTGGTGAGTAATGACTCTGTCACACTGTGGAACACTGACGTGATGCAGCAGCATGCGTTATGAACGCGCCTGCGCAAATCCGATCGATCGTGAGCTTATTTTGAATGTTTATGAGAGCTATAAATAAAAAAAATTTAAACAATTTTTTAAAATGTATTTTTACTCATTATTGTAAATGAATAAATAAAATACAAAAAAACTCTAAATAATAAAAATACCTCACAATTTTGAGCCATTTATGAATATAATGCTGAAACTATAATGCGTGCATCTTATCACAGATGTTTCTGTATTTTAGCAATATGCTTTTTAGGAGGGTTTTTTTTTTGCTTGTTTGTTTTGTCCTAAAACATATTTTATTGGCAATTACGATATTATACGAAATATTAAGGCATCAACCGATATTTTCTGTGACTGGATTTTTTCTTCTTCGTTAAACAGCACTATAATCGTTTAGGAAAACAATAATTTAAAAAATGTTTAAAAAACTTTTTTTTTTAAATTATACTTTTGCAAGCTTACAGGCAGCAAAGCCATCCGGCTTGTCTATTTATTCATATGAGAGTTAAAGGAGGCTGCCAAAAACACTTGCCCTAATGTTAGATTTATATTTATAACCTTAAATGATTATTAGTACTTATTATTATTATTTGGCCTAATAGATATATTTTTGAATTTGAGTTTTTTAAATTATTATTTTGAATACGGTGTTAAATGATCAGTCCCGACATTTAAAATCATGGGGAAAATGTATTACTTTTTTTTAAATCGCTAAATAAAGAAGGCAAACAATTGTTGCACACAAAAGATTTTAATTGTTTAGGTTTTGAGATCGTATAAATTAAACCTATCCAGAGAATTTACAACATGTATAGACAAAACGTCTTCTATAGATAATTGCAGATAAACTAATAGTTCTGGACATGAAAAATACAATAAAATAAAATAAAAATTTCAGCGTGACTAATTTATTATAATAGCATAAATGTTTAATTTAAGACCAGACATTAAATATTTAAATAAAACAATCTCATTTGTCTTATCTGTCCCGCGGATGGAGAACAAAGTAGGCAGATAACGAACTAATGATCTTCACACTTCCTGACACACACACAGGGCCGCGCGCGCACTAGTGAAGATTGTTTGGGGTTGGAAAGCGCACGCGACAAAAGCAGGGCGTCCTGGCTGTGAGACAGCAAAAGAACCAAAACATCCCTGTTGTGACTGTCTGCGGTCTCCCAAACACAGAGCGCCGTTTAATCTCCGTTTCCTGAAATGTTACGGTGGCGATAACATGGCTGAGATTTAGAAACAAATCGCCTCTTGTGTCTTTTCCTGTTTTCCGAGTTGGCTAGATAATAAAAGTTTTAAGTAAGTCAGGCATATAGCTGCTTTCAAATATCATTGCAACCTTTTTTTCTTTTTCTTCTGTTTTCAGTTTGAAGTTGTATTTATTTATTTTTGCTTTCAATCTCCAAATTGCGTTAAATTCCGTGCAAACTTACGGCGGGCCCCCAAATCCAAAAATAAGGGCAGAGTCAGCACAGCATCCTTCTTCATTAGCTCCCGATTGCCTTGTGCAGACGAACTATTTCTGTCTGTTAATGTAAAAAGGAAAACAAAAAGTCTAAAAGTATGGCCGGCCTCTCACCTTCAGCAAGTATCTGTCCAGGATCTCCAGACCACAGCTGGCGCACAGGTTCTTCCCGGTGGACGGCACCGAGCTGGTGGAGGAGGTCGGCGAGCACACGGAGGGGGTGGACGGAGTGCTGGGGGAAGAGCGGGTGTCCTCCCGCTCCATGTTGGACCGCTGGGATTCTCCGTCCGAGTGAGACTGCAAGAGGGCATCAGCAGAGCTCAGCACTGACACACACACACACACCGATCATCCTCATCAGCGCGTTGACAGTTTTCAGGTGTCGCCATTTTTTTACCATGGTTTGCACTGCAGTGCGCGCATAATTCACAAATTTTCGCCAGCGTGAATGCGCGTGGGCCAAACGGTCATCCGCTGCACGCTATCGGCGCACTGAAAGAGCCTTTTTTAAACATATATGTTTTAAAGCATAAACGGGCAATAAAGCTCTCACCATTGGCGTGTGCTTAGAGTCCACACTGCAGCGCGAGGCTCCCGGTGTGCTCTGATGCTCGGTGGAGATCACCTACAAGAAAACGATCAGTGAGCGGCGGGTCATCACTTTCTCCGTCTCATCATCAGCTGAGCCGAGCAATCCTCGGGATACATTTGCGGACAGCTCTCCGAGGCTACTCCTATTTAAAGTAGTCCTGACAATAAACCCCCGGTTAAACCTGTTTAAAAGCCCCCTGCAACAAAAGGCAATGTTTTAATGAAGCTATCTCAAATTGGATTGATTTTGTTCCCCCTGCCCTTAACCCATGCCTCTCAGAATAATAGTATTTTCTTCGCAATCCAGGACACGAGACTGGAGGATGGGGAGTGGAGTGGTGTGTGTGTGTGTGTGTGTGTGTGTGTGTGTGTGTGTGTGTGTGTGTGTGTGTGTGTGTGTGTGTGT